ACAACGGCTAACCAGGAGTAAATTGTTTCAGTGTATTACCAAGGAAGGCCACTGTTAGCTTCGGCTAACTCCCAAACGGATTCCACAACCGTTGAGACTAAAATTTTACCACCTCCGTGGTTACTACCGGCACACACATGTCCGGCTGCCTACCTGCAGTACACTGAAACAAAACCCTCACTAGCATCACATAACCCCGTACCAAGACCAATTTGCATATTAGTAGATCCATCTGCACCAAGTAAGTTTACAATAACAAATATGGAACGCCAAAGATGCCTTTAGTGACACCAAAATTGCTGGTTTTCATGACATAAATGAGGAATTAACTAAAGTTATCTAAATACAAATTGAATAAAAAAGGGAAATTTATATTGTTCATATACAATTAGATACAGAAAATGACAAATTAAAAAATAATAATAAGGAAATGGACGTAAAAATACATGATCATACAATTATAAAAAAAATGATTCATTAATAAATAATAATTGTGGAATAATGGCAGAATACTGTAATAAAATAACTATTCAATAAGTCATATTAAAATATGGACGAAAAAATATATAGGCCTATGTATAAAACTGTCTGAAACGTTTTTCTGTTAGTGGTGGGAGGGGGAGGGGGATTTGTTCTGACTTAGGCAATGAACTCGTTATGAGTTGGAAAAGCTGTAGTAATAAGCATTTATTATGTGAAATAATAAAATAAAAATAAAGCGACATGTATACTAACAAAAGCATGCATTAATAGAGGACAGTGTAAGATTTCGAATATTTTGGTGAAGAGTTTTTTTTTAATTATTATTTTAAAGTGACTGAGCATTAAACCTAGAGAAAGATAGGCTTATAACATAAATTAAACATCTAAATATATCAGTTATCACACTGATATATTAACATGTTCACAAAAAAATGACGGCGAATTGACTGTAGGCAAATTGTATGTTGGAAAATTTCCTGTCGGCCAAATGTCCTATCGGAAAACTGGCACTCGGCGAAATGTGGTGTCGGCAAAATCACGTGTCGGTGAAATCACGTGTCGACAAATGGTATTTCGGTCAATAGTCTGTAGGCCAAATGTCTGTCGGTGAAACGTACGGCGACGATAATGACACTAATACAAAAAGCTTAAAAAAAAAAAATGATACAGTATACGAATAACATTAATCACGATAGGTGTATAAGTAATTTCTTTATAAGTATCATTATAGTTACAAGTCAAATTTAAGATGGCTGTTCGTTCAAATAATTAATAATTTTGAAACTATACAATATAATATAACAAATGTAACTATTGAAATCGAAAATCGTTGTTAGGTCAATTAAAATATTACTGTCTCCTGAATAGGGGTAAAATTATTTAGGAACACCCAAAAAAGGGACACTCTTTCGGTCCCGAAGTTGTCTCCATAATAGGAGTTCTCAAAGTCAATGGTTGTTTACATTACCAGCCAATTACGTATATTTACGTGCCTTTAACAGGAAAGGCCTGACAAGAGTTTTGCTCCTTTTATAGCAGTGCCTAATTTTCACTGTTTGTATTTTAGAACCCCGTCCGCAAACTTGTTAGCCCACGACCCAAATTATATATCAAGCATTCAGACGCGACCCATCGAACCGGAAGCCAATAATTCACGTCCGTTGATAAGCGCGAAAGATAGCGGGTATTAGAAGAACCACCCACTTGATTCTTTTGGCAGTCAACTAAAAGATACTGTCACCCACAACATTATTTTAAAAAGCCTAAAAATGAAAAAAAATAACTTAAAATTACTCATTATTTAACCAAACCACGTAAGTTATCTTTCTTTTTTTTTTTTTTCAATTTCACGACTTTTTTAAAATTAATGATTTACAGACATTTCATTACAATTTCCTTAATTATTTTGCTGCCAGATATGTATGAGTTATTCAAAGACATAGACACATTTAATTGAAAAATATTTTCTTCGTTATAATTTTCAACTGAAAGCCAAACACACAGAAATTAACAAAACTTTCAAGTTGTCATATCTGAAGTACAAATGTTGTACAAGTAAATTTTCAACATGAAACTGATTAAACACACGCATTACAAAAGTAAATTGACACACGTGCCACACTTTAACTGCACTTTCGTTTGATTTCCTTTGTCCTCATTCGTATTAGGTAAAGTTTTCACGATTAAGAGACTATGCGACCCATCAACAATTCTCCGCGACCCAAACATTGGGTTACGACCCATAAGTTGCGGAACGGTGGTTTAGAATATTAATTTAATTTACGTTTGTTGATGTTGTTTATATATGTATGGCTCGACGACAATCGGATATATCAATTTCCAGGGCCTGATGTGGATATCCTGACTTTAGGCCTAAGGAATATAAGTAAGCGTTGATAGTCCAACCAATGACGGTGTTAGCCTAATTTCACAACAATAATAATAATTGTATGCTGGTATAGACAACAGATTAAATACTGCGTTAGAGCTTTCGTTGAATTATAGGTAGGTGAAAATCATAATAGGATCAAGCATAATAGGATCAAGCACCGACATAAAAACAATTGCTCATCCACGCACGAACCGATTGTTTGTCGCGGAACTTGACCCTTTAACACTTACAGAAAAAGGCCGAACCATAATAAAATAAAACCTCAAGCGAGAATAATTTGTTCAGATGAGCCTTAGTACACAATGCATTTCTTCATATGATAGTCCTACATTCAGCGATGATTATTTGATTTTTTGGTAAGTAAATGTCCGTTTTTGTGTTAAAAAGCGTCTTCCCAAATATATAAATAATTTTTCTAAAGACACAATAATTGTCTAGCTTGGTGGTATGGTTAGACCTAAATGTTGGTCTTCCAAACGCGGGGCCAACGGCGCCAACGTAACTAGGCCTACTGTACGTTAATCTTACGTTATTCTGAAAAGGATACTATTAATGCATATGACAATTTAGTGAACGACAAGCAAAACGTTTGGGAATACAATGAGAACGAACAAATTAGTGTTTATATTGAATCAGTAACTTTATACTCAACCGTTACTATTTTGCTGTTAAAATTTCCTGCGAAAAATATTAGCAAAACCCATTATAACGTTCCTTCTTTCGCCCGTTCGTTCTTTCATTCTTTCATTGAATACCGTAATTAATTCATTTAAATTTATATACGATATTAATGACACGGATTTATTTATGTTTGCACACAAAACATACGCTTGAATATGTATCGCTGTACCTCCACAGATTTTAAATGCGGCCGAGCCACAAAAAGAACGAAACTCTAGACTGGGAAATAAGAGGGGAAAAAGATAAATAAATAAATACCATGAAATGAGTACCATGAATTACATTAAATTATAGATTTAGGAAAATGATTAAAACTGTGCCATGAGAAAAGAGTTTACAGCACGTTTCGTTATACTGACTTCGTGGTTTGGATTTGCATCTTGTACTGTAAGGTATGTCACTTTGTCTTACCCTCTTGTTCATTCATTCAATGTTATAACCTCTTATATACATATATATATATATACATATATATATACATATATA